GGAACAAGTACCTAGTAAACACTTATCCAAGTACTTTGTGCTAAACTTAATTTTCACATTATTCCATATCTTTCCACAACCCCAAGAGGTAGGTACTCTTACTACCTCCATTTTACCTGAGAGGACATTACTTACCTTTAGGTCACACAGTTAAGTATGTGGTGGGGTATGGGGATACGATCCCAGACAATCTTATTCCAATGTTCTCCTCACATGATGCTCAACTGCCTTATAGTCAATAAAGAGGTTGAAGGGATATCCTTCCATGTCACTTAAAAGTACATAACCACAATTTGATTTGGAGTGTCTGAACCAGAGAAAAATTGTGGCCTTCAAGAAAGCAACCACACAGGGCCCTTCCTCATTAGCACCAAACTAAATGCAGGTGAACCTTTTATCAGTGCCACCTGGTAAGGCCCGGCTTATCTCCTTTCTCCATAGTCTGCTAGCTGGTTTCACTTTCCCCTAAGCGTTGACACAGAGCTTTTAACATTACCCCCATTAAGGTGCCAAATTGACATGTTGGAAAAGAGTTGCTCTGATCAGTCTTCCATTTCCTCAGCAAAGAAAACAGGAGTTTGTCAAACACGGCCCAGATCAGGGAGCAGGGGAGCAATCCTATCTGACCTTCAATTATTCTGAAATGGGATCACCTTCTCGCCTGACAACTGTGACTAATTCCAAAGGCCCAACCAGGCTTCTCATCATGATGACTTGGGCGCCAATTACCATTTGGGGGCAGATTAGAATCTGAGCTGAAAAATTCCACCCCTTAATGCTAATCCCCTGAACTTTCCAATCCTAAATAGGGCAAGCTTCAGAAAAGAGCAATTCTCACTTTGTATCCTACCTGAATATGATCTGTAATGATTTCGGTTAATCAAAAAAATTAAACTCCTGCTCTCATGGTCAAACTAAACACAAGAGTCAGAGGAAGGAAGAAGTTCGGGCCAGCTGCCAAGACTCCATGTGAGGCTCTGGGAGTTAATAATTTCCATGGTGTTTTAAGCATTTGAAACAACAAAGGCCAGCTTTCACTAATAGCACAACTGACTCCAGCAAATCTATAAATACGAGGCCTCTTCTAGGGTAGTTTGTATTACAGAGAATTAAGTTTCAATAAATGAAATGAAAACCAAAGGCGAGAAAGAGACATTTCTGCTATTCTCAGATAGGAATCTGCAAACTCAGTAGTAAGCAAAAGCTAATGGGAACGGACTGTCAGGGGGCACAGAATTTCAGGTGGGATGGGGTGGGGAAGGCGGAGAGGAGTCACATGAGGAGTTCCTAGGTAACATGTCCTTAGGTCTAAGCCACTGCCTTTTCTAATGCTTTGGCATTTGATCTGTATTTTTCAGATAGAAATACATGAGATTTTGTGTTCCATGAAACGAATCAAATTTTCGTAATTTAGGTTGAAAAGTGGCACCCCACAGGCCAAATCTGGCTATGGAAACAATTTAGTAGGTCTTTGCTGTATACTCTCTTTTTTTTTCATCTGAATTGGTTGGCAACATAACTCAAAAAAGACTTCACATGAAAATGAAGGTATCCAGCTACCCTTGGAAACTGGACAAGTGAGCCACTCCGGACTCATATTTCCGACATGGCAGCCTCTTTAAAAAGGGCATCACTCACACTCAGCCTGCATCTTGCCTATGGCCCTAGTCCCACGACAGCCCTGCGCTGTACCTCCTGTTTTCCTCCAAAGAGCCAACCCCCTTGAGAGAAATATTGCTAATGGTATGGTTAGTATTTGCTGGAAGGAGAGAGGAAGAAATGCATGCAAAATATCATGTAAACAAAACAAAACAAAACAAAACAAACCCCTACCAGTTTCTTTAATTCCTGAAGTCTCAGAAAACACCGTATTTCCATGTGTTTTTCAAAATACTCCTTTCACTGTCAGCTACTACATGCAACAATTCCATGTGTAGCTTGAAAACATGATCTTTGCTGAAGAGGTGATTAGCAAGAGGACTAGAACGCTGAGATTCTCACGGATCCCAGGCCCACTCCCTTATTTTATGTCAACAACAGATTTGTCAGTAAAGAAAATCTGGGAAAATAGTACTTACCAATACACTAGCTTGGAGCCACAATTCCACCAGGCCCCAAATCAGTACTAACTAAAATAAATGGCACCTTCCATTTCTTCAGTGTCACAGTAACAACAGAGAGGCTTTGTTCCCCACCCCCACACCCCCCCAAAAAAAAGCAGGAGGGAGAAGAGAGGAAGAAAAGAAATGTCTAAACTAATGGAAACAAAAATAAACTAATGGAGATCTCTATTTCACTTTAAGCTGCAGGCTGAACCACACAAAGTCTGAGGCATCCATGTAATTTGATATTTTCCACAAAGGAAATACCACAGTTGATCACCACCACCATCGCTGTCCATCCCCTAACCCCTTCTAATCATGTTTACAGACTTTAAGGCTTTATTTATTTATTTAGAGAGAGTTTGAAGGGTGGGAGGGAGGAGGGAGGTAAGAGGGGGAGAGGGAGAGGGAGACAGAAACTCTCAAGTGGACGCCATGCTGAGTGCGGAGTCTGAGGCAGGGCTCAATCTCATGACCCTGACATCATGACTTGAGCTGAAATCAATAGACAGATGGTTAACCGACTGGGCCATCCAGGCACCCCTAATGATGTTTACAAAGCTTTAAATAAAGAAGACATGACTTTCTTCCCACTCAGCTCATCTGGTAACAGTCCTGAAAACCAATTAAGATTGTCCAGGCATGGGGACCAAAGCCAATTTAAGCACACACCTCAAATTCCCTCCATCCTTCGATGGGGCAAGAAATAGGGAATTAGGAGCACAGACCTACTATACCAGCTCTTTCAAAGCAAATAAACCCCAGACTTTCAATATTGGTACCAGCACATCACCCACGTGGTCTGTACTGCTACAGTAAGTATTTCTGTAGTGAGAATAAGTGGCCGGTAAGGAGACGATGGAAGACAGTAGAATGTGGCAGTCACGTTGGGGCAGATGACATTCCAAATCTGTTTTGTGATAGCCAGGGGTAAACTTCCTTGTAGTTTAAAAGAAAACTTAGCAATATTTGAAAACTTCAGAAAAAAGCAATTAAAAATCTCATGAGGTGCAAGCAATGGTCTATTTGGTGGCTTTAAGAATTGCCGCACCTCCTGGGGCACCTGGGTGGCTCAGTGGGTTAAAGCCTCTGCCTTCGGCTCAGGTCATGATCCCAGGGTCCTGGGATGGAGCCCCGCATTGGGCTCTCTGCTCAGTGGGGAGCCTGCTTCCCTTCCTCTCTCTCTGCCTGCCTCTCTGCCTACTTGTGATCTCTGTCTGTCAAATAAATAAATAAAATCTTTTAAAAAAAGAAAAAGAATCGCGACACCTTCCACCACATTAATTAAGCTCTCTGAAAAGCTGAGGGTACAGATAAAGATGTTATGAAGACACTGCCCACACCTCTTAAAAGATGAGCAATGAAGAAGTACACACCCCAGTCAGATTTTGATTTTAAGATTTACTTTTTTAAGAGAGAGAGAGAGGGAGTGAGAGGGAGCAGGGGGAGGGGCACAGGGAGAGGGAGACAATCGGGCTCCCTGCTCAGCAGGGAGACCCCAGAACCCTGAGATCATGACCTGAGCCGAAACCAAGAGTGGGATGTTCAACTGACTGAGTCCCAGATTTTGACTTTTGAAGGGGCCTCCATGAAAAGCAGTGTCTTCCAGGACTTGTATCTCGGAGAACGAAGAAGGAACCCCAAAGGTGTAAGTCTGCAAAGGGCTGACTGGCTAGGAGGCTGGCTGTAAGTGCCATTGGAGATTTAAGGTCATAGGATAGTCATTATTTTTGTTAATGCTCTAGTTACAAAATTCTGTAAGTTTCAAGTGCTCTGCCACTCACTTTCTTGTTCCCTTATGTCCCCTATGTTTTGCGTGGAGTCTGGCAGAAGGTGAGGTCTTTCCGGACTGCGTGGACCACCTTAAAGCTGAACTTACTCCACTGCCATCTTGTTGGTCTGCTCACATGTCAAGAGGCAACAGTATTCAAGTGTAGCGGTCATGGATGTCTCGAGTTCCCTGTGCTTATTGGTTGGTTACCTAGAAATACGGTTCTTAAATGAAAGCTTGTTAGGATTTCATCTTAAATGCTTTCCAATATTATGCTGCTGCTAAAAATGCAATTCTGAAGACTAAGCCAAAACACACCCCAAAATATTTATGCTATATCACATTCATTAACAAGAGAAGAATCCAAACATACACACTAAAAATATAACCATGTTAAAAAAAAAAAAATACAAGCAGGTGGGAGGTAACAAGTAAAAACAAAAACTGCATTAAGAATAAAATACCTTGGTTTTTACACTTAGCTTTTTCAATTAAGCAAATGAAATTTTTGTTTGTTTTGCCTGGAATTTATTATCAGTTGGTAAAAGTTTGCAGGGAAACATTTTGTATCCACAAAATGACAGATTAACAAATGTAGCTGAACGCCCCAGCAACACCACTGTTTTTTGTTTTTTTTTTCAAGAGAAATATTTTAATGTTAGCAGGCCATGCACAAAAGTAGCAATCAAGCGTTGGCTGAATACTCATGAATATTATCTGACTTAATTTTTGAACAACCAACATAAAATGAGCCATTTGTTTCAAACGATGTGCTAGAAACGTCTTAGGGGTCTTCAAGGACCAGGGAATCATGCTGGGCTCCTAATGACAGGGGCATCTGGTTAAAAGCCATCGTTCTACAACAAGGTGCTCTCCTACACGTGAAGCAGCTGTCAGGCTTTACTGGGCCACCAACCAAGGTCATGCCCTTGCCTCTGCCTCATCTATCGAGGCACAAAGAAGCAGGGTTATAATAAGGTTCCCGGCCAAATAGCCTGGCTTTCTGGAATAAAAGTTCCCACAAACTGCCCACACATCAAAGTTATCAAGTAGCTAATGGACATGAAAGCTTTATAGCAAATAAAACACATATGCATCACAGACATTTCCTTAAAAGAAAACAACACAGTGGAGGGGAACAAAAGGAGAGTGAAGCCTGCTTGAGCAGATACCAGTTTATTCGACATAGTGCATGATTCAGAGCATCTGATATTCCACAATCAACAAGATTTCCTACTTCCCTATTATAAAATACTGGACACCCTGAAGAGAGTTCATTCAAAGTTCTTGTTCCTCTTCTCCATCTAGCATTAAACAGGTTTCTTCGTGTAGTACACATTTCACATTCACCAAAGGCTTTGGGGAGAGGCGGGTGAAGGGCTTCTAACCACCCCCCCAGACCAAAGGCACTTAATGTTAAAAGATAAAGCACGGTAGAGTCACCCCACAGACATTCCTGCATGTTCAGTGCTGAACTTGAGCACACCACCAGGAGCCCATGTGGGATTCATCCTGACAATGTAAAAGACACCGATTTCCTTGAAAACACAAAGTGCAGTATGAATATAAAGACTCATCACCACCACCTTTTCCACCATCCCATCCTTTTCTCAAAATAATACATAAGGGACCTCTTATTTTACATGATTAGTATCACCCAAGTTCACACATGGAAAAAAATAGCTAAAAAAATCATCTGTCATAAACTCTTACTATGAAACCACAATAGACTCTGATATACGCATAGACTCTGTGAGCTGGAGAAGGCCTCAGAGGTCATGCCGCGCATCCCCTCACTGGACAGAGGAGGTCACCGAGGCTCCGGAAGGTCAAGTGTGGGACCCTGAGGTCTAGCCCCTGTGGCACAGCCAGGGAAGAACACATGCCTTCCAAAGTTTCACTCAGGGTCTCCTCCACCCACTTCCCCTTTCAAAGACTGTCCAAAGTAAGCACAGCGATGATCTCCAGAAATGCGCCACACAATAAAGCAAGTGGGCTGACGCAGGTCAGCGATTTGGTCTCGCAAAGCGGTTCCTTTGGCCACTGGGCGGGTATGAAACCCCCCTCAGAGTGGGAATTCTTCACTCGAGGTCGTTCAACATTCTGAGGAAAGCCAAGGGCAGGTCAGACACAACATCTTGGATTTGGGAAGGCTCATCTCAGCTCTTAGCCCATGGTGGGCTGACGGTCAGCGGCACAGCGGAACCCCAGGTTGGAAGCCGAGCTGTCCGGCGTGTTCTGGCTCCGAGCAGCACAGCGGTACCTGTAGCAGTAGGACTGGCCAGAGACAGAGAGAAAGGTGAGTGTTCTCAGACTCGTGAAAGGGTCTCAACTGTCAGATTCATGCTATACCCAAGCAGAAGCTCCAGGGAAGGCGTGACCACCGGGAGACAGCACCCCCCCCCGCCACACACACAAAACACCCAGTCAGCACATATGTTTTGGAAAGGGCCGCACACTCAGAGTTCACCACATGAAATCCAATGTTTACCTTAGAAACTATGGTGTAAAGATGTTAGTGCCAGCATTATTTAGAACAGTAAAGAAAACCCATGTAACAAGCAATGACTACAGAAGTTATGCTCATCCACATGTGAGATTACTAAGCAACCCTTAAAAGCCATGTTTTTATGTAATACTTAATGACACAGGAAATTCTCATGATTCACTGTTAAATGAAAAGTCAGAATACAAAACTGTGTGTGTGGTGTGATTGCAAGCTATATAATTACATCTGTCAAAGAAAAAAAGACTGCAGATTCAAAATGCACAATGCAAACAATAGTTACATCTGAGCAATGGAGTTTCAAATTTCCTATGATAAGTATATATTACTTTCCTAATTTGAAAAGTTATTTTTACATTTAGAGTACATGACATTAAACCAAATAATAAAGCTAAATAGCAATTGAGAAAATATTAGTTATGAACAACATTAAGATATTATTTAATATTCAACAGAGGAGCAAAAATTAAACAGCAAGCCTAGGAACATAAAGAGTAGAAAAGGCTGTAAAAAACATTTTTTGAAATATGTTAGTTTGAGGGGAGGGCGCCTGGATGGCTCAGTCGGTTAAGCATCTGACTCTCACTCAGGTCATGATCTCAGGGTCCTGGGATCAAGCCCCACATCGGGCTCCTGGCTCAGCACGGAATCTACTTCTCCCTTTCCAGCTGCCCCTGCCCTTCTTTATAGACTCTCCCTCAAATAAATAAAATCTTAAAAAAAAAAAAAAAAAAGAAATACATTGCTCTTGGATTAGCTATAAAGCTATACATTACTGTATGAGAGATGTTTTATTTTCTAGGAGCAGAGAACATATACATACCTGAGCACAAACAGACACAGACATTGAGTGCCTAGCACACGCCAGGGATGCAAGGCACTGCAGGTGTTATTTCATCGAATCAGAACAGCCCAGAGAAATTAAATGGGTTATCCAAGATGACATAGTTGTTGAGGGAAGTGGAATTCAAGCCCAGCTCTGTCTGGCAGAGCGCTTGCCTCTGTAGCAAAATTCTATACACCTAGACGGAAAGACAGCACATCTCATGCTTCTTTCCCAACCCCAACACATCTGTCCTGCAGGGACATGCCTACTTGCCCGGGTAAGAAAGCAAGATTTACCACTGGCCCCCAAGTAGATATTCAGTGAATAACCACAGATTACTGAATTTACATCAAAACTTGCCGTATCCCCAAAACAACCACACATGGCACTCTTCTATCCTAGGATGGTACTTTGACACAAAATAACAGAGAATGAAAATAAAGTAGTTACCCAGTGTAGCATGAGCATTAATGTTGAGGTGACCCAGTGAAACCAAAGTCCCTGTTAAGGCGGTTAAAGAAACTGCACAAAGAATCACGTAGAGTAACTTTGGGACTCATGAAGGAGAGATCCTTTGTGGAGGGGAAAATAGGTCTGTCTGAAAGAGGCTGTTTTTATTTTTTCCTTAACTCTTATTCTTTTTCTCACAGAAGTTGAGTGCTTCTAATCTTCATAGAAATTATCTCTAAAACTGCCACAGAAATTGTCTGGAGTACATCCACCATAAAAAGAAAGACATAGTGGTTTGTCTTCTACAGATAGTGAAACAATAGCAACCAATTTTCTCATTTTCCCTGTGGCCAGTGAGGAATATAATATATTATCACTATTCAGGCAGAGGAAGATGAATAAAGAGTACGCCTGAAATAATGAAAAAACTGATGGCATCTGCTACACGACCGGTGCCTGCCGTGCAATGGAAGCCCTAAAATGACTAGAGGTCATCCCATAGGAGGACGCAGCAGCCTCATCCCAGAGGCGCGTGGGTGGCACAGTCGGTTAAGCATCCAGCTCTTGGTTTCAGGGCAGATCAAGATCTCGTGGGTTGGAGGATCTACCCTTACATCAGCCTCCATACTCAGCAGGGAGTCTGCTTGAGATTCTTGCCGTCTGCCCCTCCCCCAACTCATGTACTCACACATTCTCTCTCAAATAAATAAATCTTAAAAAAAAAAAAAAAAGAAAAGAAGAAGTAGCAGCAGCAGCAGCAGCCGCCTCATTCCACATAGACCCCACTCACCCAGATGCTGTGAAGCAATAGTGCTCTGGTGTTTCCAGCCTAGAATGCCAGTGGATAATCCAGGGCCCCATGCTACCAAGTGTGCATAGTGAATTCTACACTGGAGCAAAAACCGAGTTCCCGAGCAGGCAAGCATCCAGACATGGACATTCTTGTTCCATAACTGTACCACACATGACAAAAAACAAACAAGCATCTCCTGATTGCCTGCTGTGCACACCCATAGAGGAAGCCTGACCGTGGGCACGGTCCTGTCCTGCTGGACATCACAGGCTGGCTGACGGAACAATGACAACACATCAGACAGCTATAAAACATGCTAGGGTTAAAAGATTCTGAGGTTTTTATTAACTCAGGTAAAGGAATGGTCCCTTGTAGAAGGTCAAAGTCTTTAGAAAAGACTTTGGAAAGACTTATAGAAGGCAAACCTTGGCCATAGCTGGATTTACAGGATTATGGCAGTGGTCTTCGGACTTGAATAGCCTGAACAGCTTAAGAACCTATTCCTAGGGGCCGCCTGGGTGGCTCAGTTGGTTAAGTGGCTGCCTTCGGCTCAGGTCATGATCCCAGCAACCTGGAATCGAGTCCCGCATTGGGCTCCTTGCTCGGCAGGGAGCCTGCTTCGCCCTCTGCCTCTGCCTGCCACTCTGTCTGCCTGTGCTTGCTCTCTCTCTCTCTCTCTCTAATAAATAAATAAAATCTTAAAAAAAAAAAAAAGAAAAAAAAAAAGAACCTACTCCTAGGCCACACACCCAAGGATTCTGACTCAGTCAATCCGGTGTGCAGTCCAAGAATTCACATTTCTAACAAGCTTCTAGGTGCTGCTGATGCTATGAGACCCAAGAGCTGCAGTTTGGGTAGAAGTCTTTTATAGAATTTAGAAAGGAGGAAAGAAGGTATATTAAGTAGAGAAAACAATGACATCAGAGGCATGAAAATGAAAAAACTCAGGCAAGTTAAGGGGATAGGAAGGCCATAGCCTGATCATGTCAGAGCACAGTTTATTTATTCATTAAATATTCGAGATGTTACAACATGTTAGATGCTATTCTGGGCATGAGGGATAAAAGGTAGAACAAGACAGAAATCCACCTGTCATCAGAAAGCTTACATTCAACAGGGATTAATCAGAGAACAAATAAACCGATAAATTCAAGATTGTTTCTGAGAGTGGTCAGTTTGGAAGAAAGTAAAATAGGGAGAGAGGAGTGGGAGTGAGTATGTGGCTACTTTAGACAAGGCAGCCTAGAAAGGCCTCTCTGAGGTGGTGCCAGGTGAGTTGCCCAAAAGATTTAGAGAACAGTAATTCCAGGCAAAAGTAATCACTGTACAAAGACAGTAAGTGATAAAAAGCAGGAAACATGGGTAGATAAAATAGGATGGTGTTACATTACAGGCAATCTTCTCAACAGAAAGAATTTGGGCTTGATACAAATGGAAATCGTGACAACCATTGTGCTAATTTACTCACCAGAAAGAGCAAAATCCAAGACTCTTCAGCTATTTAACCTTAGGCAAAAACTTTCTGACTCTATTCCCCTGTTGATGAAATGGGGCTATTAATGAAATAATGTCAAAATGCTTCATCTTATCTTTACATAAAAAAAGTAAAGCATTGGCCACGTGGAAGTTATTGTAACTGTTACTTTATAATGAACACAACAGGGGCAACTGGGTAGCTCAGTCGGTTAAGCCTCTGTCTTTCAGCTCAGGTCATGATCTCAAGGTCCTGGGATCAAGCCTCACGTCGGGCTCCCTGCTCAGTGGGGAGTCTGCTTTTCCCTCTCCTTCTGCCCTTCTCCTTGCTTGTGTGCTCTGTCTCTCTCTCAAATAAATAAAAGGAATCTTCAGAAATATATAATGAACACAACACTCTTAATTATAGAAACTAACGTTGACTGTCTTACTGACATTTTGGGGTTAATCTGCTTCCTCATTAAAACAAAAGCATTAGGGGTGCCTGGGTGGCTCAGTGGGTTAAGCTGCTGCCTTCGGCTCAGGTCATGATCTCGGGGTCCTGGGATCGAGCCCCGCATCAGGCTCTCTGCTCAGTGGGGAGCCTGCTTCCTCCTCTCTCTCTGACTGCCTCTCTGCCTGCTTGTGATCTCTCTCTGTCAAATAAATAAATAAAATCTTTAAAAACAAACAACAACAAAAAAAGCATTAGCCAGCTTCCCCACAGGTCTTAAATAGCTTCTGTTGGAGAGATAACACTGCCAGTATCTGAATGTGGATTTACAGTTGAGCCTTGAACAACATGGGTCCGAACTGCACCAGGTCCATTTACATGCATTTTTTTAAAAAAGATACAGTAAAGCACTGTATTTCCTCTTCTCCTTATAATTTTAACATCTTCTTTTCTCTAGCTTACTTTATTATAAGAATACAGTATATAATACATAAAACATACAAAATACGTGTTTATCAGCTGTTTATGTTATCGATAAGGTTTACAGTATACAGAAGGTTATCAGAAAAGTTTTGGGGGAGTTAAAAGTTTTATGTGGATTTCTGATTGCATGGGGAGTTGGTGCCCCAGCTACTGCGATGTTCAAGGGCTACCTACACACAGAAGTTATTTGCTACATAAATGGGAAAGATGAGGACTATCTCTGGTAACTAAGGCATAGGACTAAGGTCTTTGTTGGATGGCATATTTCTATATGCAACTTATCTCTCAAATTAAATTAAAAAAAGATTTTAAA